CTCACCACAGATTTTCACTTGCTTCCTTGTCTTTCTTAGTAGTCAAAAGAGGCAGCACCTAAAAGGGAGCTTGGGAAAACCATCCCTGCTGAGAGTGAAACTGCTTTGCACACATTGGTGTTATTCAGGGGGATAGTTTGGGGACCCAAAGTCAAATCCATCATGGGCCACGTGTGATGCGTAATGCGCTTGCGGGTCATTGTTGTATGTTTGCTTCTTTACCACCACTCACAGGTCCATGAATTTCCCCATGAAACACCAGCATCTGAAGTAATCTTCCTCTCTTGCTGAGTGCTGAGTGCCAGGGTCTATTTAAATTCTGCAATTAACAAAGCTACTTATAAAACAAACCACGTGGGAAAAATTGCTCCCTACGAGTTCCAGAAGATCCCCGTTTGCTTCTGTTCTGGGAAATTGTAACAGAAATGAGTAACAGCTTTATGTGTATCAAGAGGACCTGTATGTGGCTCTCCAGCAGCCACGTCAGAATCCGGATGATGTGGGGTGCACCTGCAGTCCCTGCTCTGGGAAGCACCCAGTCAAATCTCACAAGCAAGCTCCAGGGTCAATGAGAGACCCTGCTTTAAGAATAGAATAGGTGAGGAGCAATAGGGGAAGATGCTCAAAATGGGCCTCTGGCCTCCAGATGCATACCCACATAAATACATACATATGTAACAACAACAGCTTTGTCCTTAAGTATTCAGTCTCATCTGTTAAATTTTCTCTATATTTTTACTTGCAAAACAGTCTCAGGATTAGCTTGCCAGGTGTCTTCATAATGCAAGCCCATCGTCTACCCCAACAGTACATGATACATAAAACCTGAAAGTACTTAGGGGCATGTTAATGCCACATAAATCTGTGGTTGAATTTTTGTGTACTGCCGAACAGTCATTTAGAATGTAGCTCTTAATCTTTAACTAGTTCTCATTATTTTAATGCACAGATTAAAGTAAGTGAAAAGGCAATCGGAAGAGAAAGTATTAACAAGGTCTTTGAAAAATTCCAGTTGTTACACGTTTAAATAACAGACTAATGATTGTCTGTGGGACCACTTTCTGATATCTGAGGTCTACTCCTTTGGCAATTTGACAGCTGAGGGCTGACAGGCAGCCCATGTCGTATAACCAGTGTCTGCAGCTAAGCAAGACACTATGGGAGCTCACAGCAGCCTGGGGTGCTCTTGTGGCATGGCTGTGTTTCTAGTCTAGGCTCTTGGTAGAGCAGAAGCAAGCTTTCCCGTGGCCTCTAAAATATGATCTATGGTATATCAAGCTTGAATGGATTATTCTGAGGAAATCATCCCATTAGAAACATTTTGTGTGGTTTGATCGGCAAGCAATACTATCTGGTAAGGAATAAAACTTAAAAGGTCTGAGAGATGGATCAGTGATGAAGAGCACTTGACGTTTAGATTTAGTGTAGATTCCAGTCTGCTGGCCGCTCAGCAAGTGCTTTTCGCTTGTGTTAGCTCAGAAGGTTCTCAACCCCCTACTTCCCTCTCCACAATGGTCATGCTTGCCTTGGCAACACATTTGAGATTTCCATGGTCTTCTCCATAGTGCAGATGTATTAACGAAAATAATTAAACTAAAATTAAAACTAGCAAAGAAAGAAGTGAAAAAAATAATTTGTGTGTTATGTCTAACTTATTATACTCTGCCAGGAGTGAATGTTTCAAAGTTACTGTGATGTTACTTTCATTTAACTTTGATGTAAATTATGGTATCTGTGATTTTTGCTTTTAAAATATCTATAACCCTGAATGTGTGCACTATGAGACTTTCAGAGGCATGAGCCCACTCTTTGTCTGGACATAAATAAAAAGGACTTAAAATTTTAATTGACTCAATCAGCATGGTTTTTCAATAATTATCTCACATGGACCATTTCAGTTACTCCCACTTCAAATTATCTGTCACCCTCTTCTGTCCTCCAGAAAGCACCAGAAATCATCTCCAACACATGTGCGTGCACACACACAAACACGCATGCACATACACAAAAATAAATGTCTAAAATTAAATTTATCTGTGATAATGTCTGAGAGGCTTTCCTGAAACAAAACATCATGAAATCTTCGTGTGCTGCTTGTCTTTATGAATCTCAACTGTTCTCCTCGTTCCTCATCAATCCTGGCTTCTCCACAGAGACAAGCAAGAAACATTCACTTCACACCTTGCCTCCTCCTCGCTCCAAACCACTGTGACTTCGCCTCAGCCAAATATTTGCTCAGACAATGGAAATCAAAGTAGACTTGTGAGGCTGAAGTCCCTGGTTGGACCTGGAAGAGCCAGTGGCTTATTGTGACGACACAGCTCTGTGAGAGTGTTATCAGAAGTCTGGGAAGGAGAAGCCTGTGAGTGAGGAGCTCTCGTGTCCAGATGTTCAGTGATGTCATCCATTGCCACAGGAGCATGCCCATGTTGGAAGGTACTCTGCAGTTGTTGTTACAGTTGTCAGGGCAACAAAACCCCTCTGGAAATGATTTTTGTCCTTAAGACTGTGAATATGTGAGCGTTGTCCACAGCAAACACTTCTCTCTTCAGATGCTGAAGGAGTGGAGACCGTATGCTGAAAATGAATGTGGTGAAGGAGTTTATGTCAAACCCCAAAAGCAGACTTTTGTTGGCCACCACATGAAGACACCCAACTGTGATAGGTTTTTCTAATTCTGCTTGAACTCACAAACTCTATGGTTCTTTATGAAATTCCCAACTTCACATTTTTATAAAGTGTAGACTCCTGCTGTGTAGTGCACAGATCTTCCAAATTCTCCCTCCTGTGTCTTGGACTATGACTCTGCTCTCACACTGACTATAATCTAGACATCACATTGTATTTTACACATCTACTTTATATTCAGTTAAGACTATTAGACGTATATAAATACTGTCTAAGTTTCCTGTCTGTTTTAAACTTGACAAGAATGTAAAACTATGAACAAAAACACGGAGTTCATGTACTGCCATGGAGTGGCATAGCTCTTACCATTAACTTATTTTATTTTCTAACCATTTTGCATATTAAAAAGTTATGTATTACGGTTTGTTGAAGACATATTGTATGTTGTGCATTTTAAGTTAAAGAACTTCCTCATTGTCTAGGTTTAGTTTTGTTTTTCGGATACAGTCTTTTAATATGTTGCCCGGGCTAGCCTCCAACTCCTAGATAAAGCAATCCTCCCACCTTTGCCTCCTCGGTATCTGGGACTACTAAAACCCTGAAGTGTGTGGCGTGAACAAATTTAAAGATGATTTTCCCCAGGGGAATTTTCGTTCACACATATGTGGCATCGTGAGCGCACTTACATCTTACGAAGTGTTAGGCAATCAGAGGTCCTCCCTCCATTCTTTGCACTGCGGGGAGCCATTAAGACTGCAGCTACTTCTATCAAGTGAAAAGCTGTTAGACCTTTGCTCGTAGAGACAGCTCCACGAGTAAGTCACCTGCCTGTTAGACTGATGATCTGAGTTCAATCCCCGGAGCCCACGCTGTGGAAGGAAAGAGAGAACACATACATACCAAATTCCACATATGGGTCAAGGATTTATTGAGTTGCACACACACACATACATTCACATGCGCACCATAAAGCTTTTAAAAATATGGTTTAAAAACACTGTATTATATAATTATATACTTTTTACATTTAAAGTTCAAAACTTATATATGATACCTTTGCACTTAGCAATAAGACTTAGCAGCTAATGAAGTATTCTACTTCCTGAAGACCTCTCTCTTTCTTTTGTTTCTTACTATATATACTATATGTTTATATATAGTATGTATAATGTATAAATATAATATATGTAGATATATTATATATTTATATATTATGATATGATTTGATATAATATAATATAATAATATATATAAAGCAGTAATTGTTTTTTACTTTGTGTACAAAGAGAAAGCATTTTTGGGAAGTTTCTATATAGGGCATTTGAGATATTACTTCTAGGTACCTACTAAAAAATAATGTGTAAACCTGGTGAGATGAAATGGGTCATTGTGTAAAGCATTTGCTCAGTCCTAGATGACAGGGGAAGGAGAGAACGGAGTTTATAAAGCTGTCTTTTAACCTCCAAGGGTGCACTGTTGAATGTACACACACACACACACACACACACACACACACACACACACACACCCCTTAACAACAATAATAAATCTGAAAATATCTATGTACAAATTTCACTTGTATTTCTGAGATTTCTTATAAGTAGTGTCATGAAGAATGTCTCATTCTGACATTTGCTTTTACACTCAACTTTAAATTTTGTTTCATCTCTATATACTACATGTGAAGCCACTTCTTTGGTGAAAGTTGCATATTTTATTAAGTGAGCAAATTGCATTTATTTTCCACCCCACTGATGTCATTTGTCTTGTAAATATACCTGCATAATTGTGAGTGTCTCCTGGTTTACATACTTGAATTTCTCGAAGGTAGATGAGAACATGCAAGGCAAACCAAAAAGAAGTAGAAGAAGTTGATGGTCACCTAAATCACTGCTTTTCTGGTCATCAGAGGAGATTAATGTATAAGAAAAGTCTATGTGATTTCTACCCTAGAAGCAAACGTCAAGATCTCCTGACACTGAGCTGTTACAACCACACATTTAACAGCATCGCTAAAAAGAGCTTAGAGGATGGGGCCTTCATAATTTATAGTTGCTACAAACCGAACACACAGGAAACTATTTCTACAACCACAGAAGACAATTCTCCTAAACTAGTTAAGGAAATGGGTGTAAAACTCCAGCTGTTCTTGAGGAGCAAACAAAGAATGTAGAAAAGCATGCTATGATTTCATCTTGGTCTGTCTCTGGGCTGAGTGAGTCTAATCCTTACACTCACAGTGCCCCCTGTCACCTGGTCCTGCAAATAAGAACTCCTACACACCCTCCAGGCTCAGCCCCGCTGCAGGCCTTGCTGAAGCCTCAGCTGCAGGTTTGGGTCTGGGCTGCAGGTGTCTGGGAAGCACTGTGCACTTGCTGCACAGAAGTAGGTGGCGGAGTCTCCAGGCTGTGAGTCTGTGATGTGCAAGGAGAGCTGCTTGTCGCTCTTACTGAAGAAGACTGTGAATCGTCCTTCTTCCTTTTTATTGGACACTGAACTTATGGCTGTCAGGAGAGCAGGGCCTTCACCAGGGAACTGCCGGTACCATGGGAAGTAGTTAAATAAGCTGTTCTCATAAGTGCAGTTCAGAACTGTGGTCCTTCCTTCCCAGACTGTCAGAGATTGGGGACTTTGTCTCACCTGCTGCTGGTCGCTTCTTTCCTTCTGCTGACCACTCACCCCTGTGCAGGGAAACAGCAAATAGTGTTAGGTTCCTAAGGATGTACTGTCTGCTGATGGTTTCAAGATTGATGACTTTATCTGGGTGCCCGAATTCCCTCCTGCCTCCACATTAATCACACATCCTAAGGTTTCTCCTCCATGACTCACCATCTAGGTGAAGGCCTAGGACTAAAAACAATGCTTTCAGGACCTTGTCCATTCCTCCTAGACTGCAGCTTGGGGAGAACTCAGGTGGCCTTTTATCTCCCACAGAACACTGACTCCAATTTCACAGGCACCTCAGTTCTTTCAGCTGCTCCTCCCTTCACAAACACTTTGTCTAAAGCTATTTTTGGTATAGAAAGTACTTCTCTAATTTGCTCAAATTCAGTATAGCTGAAAATACAGTCATGGAGAATCAGAAATCCCCTCCTTATAAGGACACTGCACTTTGGGGTGGTAACAATGCATGTTGTTATAGCCAGCACGAATAGCAGTGTAAACATTGCTATACCCATAAAGCAGTGCTTGGTTCAAACCTCCTCAAAGAAAGCTCTTGCAGGAGATGGTTATCAACCCGGAGACCCACCGGGCAATGTGGAACATTCAGCCCTACATGGAATGTTCTCATCAATGTACTCCCCTCAAAGTTCAGGGATCTATTTAGAAGAGGAGGTGGAAAGATTGTAAGAGCCAGAGGTTGTAAACAACTCCAAGGAACAATGTTTTCCAGGTACCACAGGACTGATGCACAAATGAACTCACAGAGACTGGAGCAGCATGCACAAAGCCTGCAAGGGTTCAAAATAAGAAGATACAAGCACCGAGAAGGGAGTGTGGATGCACAGTTTCACCCTTAAGCAAGAAGCTATTTGAAATTAAGATCTGATGGGAAAGGTAAAATCAGTTTTCCCCAATGGAGTGTTACTAGTAGATCAGCCATACGCCGTGGCAAGCCCGATGCTCTGGACACCACACATAATGAATTCCATGCTTTTGTTTTATTTTTGTGCTTCTTTTGTTTCATTTTATTTTGTTTTTATATTTTTTCTTTACTAGATTTTTTTGTTTTTTTTTTTTAATTTTTTTTGTTTTTATTGGAGAGAGAGGGAAGAAGAAAAATCATGAAGTTGGGTGGGTAGGAATATGGGAGAGGAACAGGATCAAAATATATTTTATAAAAAAGTTTAAATAAAAATCTTTTCAAAAAGAAATAAAGATTAAAAAAGGATTAACAATGATCCAGCTATTGTACTTGTAGGTGTTTATCCAACTAACTGAAGTCGCCATGCTAGAGAGATACCTGCATATGCCTGTTTACCACAGCAAGGCCATAGTAGCCAAAATGTAGGACCAGTGTGGTACCTCATGTCACTAGACAAATGAAGACGATCCTGCACACGAAACAGGAAAGTATGATCAGCCATACGAAAGAACAAAATCATGTCATTTGTAGGAAAACAGATAGAACTGAAGGATACGATATCAAGCAAAATAGATACACATAAGGAAATTTTGTTTTCATGTTTGAAAACTAGAAAAAGAAGTAAAAAGGTGATCTGAAAATAAAAGCAAGATAAGTTGAGGATGAGGAAGAAATGCTATGTATTTGCTGAGTGCCTGTTTGCTTACTATATGGGCAGGACTTGGGTGTCTTTGATGACAGGCACACTTCCAATCTTCTACCTAGTCCTAGCACTCAAAAACAGAAAACTGAAACCTACCAAATACATCTATGAATCAAGACAATGAAAGAAAGGATGTGGGCACTGCTTCCAATCCAGTCAGAGAAGATTCTCGTTGAGGAGATGTATGAACTGGCTTCAAACCATGAATAGATTTCCCAGTGGAAAGAATATATAACATAATTCTAGACACAGGTCATATCAGTGTGGCAGCAGAATGACCAAGTTATGGGTGACAGCATTATAAATGTACATTAGAGACGTTATGTGGCTCTGGCCTTGAAGAATAGCATTCTACTAGTATTCACTTGTAAAGTCCTATTTGCCAACCCTATGAGCCTGGGACAAGCAGAATATAGGTGGATGGTTAGAGAGGTGCATGTATTTGTTGTTCTCTAAATGCAGTTAAGGAAGTTAGGAGATAATTTATTTTTATTTCGTTTTAAAAAATTAAAATGTATTTATAAAACCTACCTCTTCCATCTCCTCTCTCTAGTCTCTATCATGCCCCTACCTTTTTGTTCTCCCCCAATTCATGGACCCTTTAATAGTTGTTACAGTGGGTGTGGTGGCCCACACCTGTAATTCCAACACTCGTGGAGGCAGGCAGGTCTTCTCGCGTTGGGAGATAGCTTGGTCTACAAAGCAAGTCCAGAACAGCCAAGGCTACACATGGAAAAAACAAAACAAAAACATGTCTTGAAAAAAACAAAAAGAGAAGTTATTGTTATGTGAGTGTGCTCGTGCGTAGATATAAATAAATAAATGCAATGTGATGAGTACATAATCTCTGGCTCATTGAACGGTACTTAGAAGACACAATCTTCAACTGCTCTGAGGCAGCACTGCCCCTCTGTGGCCAAACATGGAGCTCTTTACTTAACAGTTTCCTCAGCTTCTAAAAGTTTCTGTGCGGAATCCCTCTGATACCAATATTCCTTCTCATGAAAGAGATTTTGTCCTTGTGAGGACAGGTATGGCTTACTTTCTGTCCTGTACTGAGGTGTGTCTCAGGGGGATCTGGAGCACCTCGGATGCCGGACACGCCCGGGATGAACAATGCTTTTGCAATATGGCATACATACCAAACCTGATTAGGAGGTCTCAGAGCACACAGTTGGCTCTCAGGCTGCATTTCTGATTAGACTCCCCTTCTTCTTATATTAAAATCAAGCCACACAGACAAGAAAACAGCCTTATATAGACTTTAAATTGGATAATTATTTGACCTTCTTCTCAGAACTTGGTGTAGTCATCATTTTTACACAAAGTTAACATAACATGAAAATGGCTGGATTTGACTTGAAACATATTTTGTTGACTCCTGACATAGAGAACCTTTCTGTTTGGTTATCAGTAAGCCATACTCATCCTTCTTCAGTGTTTGCTGAAACATTTTGTCCATTTCCAAATTCGGTTCTTCTTTCTCTTTTAGTCAATAGAGACTTTTTACATACTCTGTTTAAAGTTCTTTGAACAGTATGTTTGTCAGGTGCATTCTTTTGGTTGTTCGTTTGTCTTATCAAAGACTCCAAAACCTGTTCCTGGAGAATTTCAAAGCAATTCTGACTAAACTTAAGAATTGATCTATAAATGGAATGTCAACTCACAATAATTATTAGGAGATTCAGTAGATTCAATTTTTCTCAAAAGTGTACTATAAATTCAGCAGAATAGCATGAAAACTCCCATACCTTTTCCTTTTAGAAATTTATGAACTAACAACTTGTGGATAAGAGCATAGACTAACAGGATGCTTTTGTGTGAGCTAATGAAGGAATGTCAGAATAGGGAAAAACAGGCTTTGCCCCAAACAGAAAGAAAGAAAGAAAGAAAGAAAGAAAGAAAGAAAGAAAGAAAGAAAGAAAAAAAGAAAGAAAGAGAAAGAAAGAAAGAAAAGGCTTCAGAGATCCACAAAGGAAGTGAAAAGGATACCTGAAAAGTTAGAGATAAAAAACCCAGACAGACCACCTCCTGGAGAAGTCAGCCTAACATAGCTCCAAACATGCAATCATCTAGCTGGAGTTTTAGGGGGAAAGGTAAGCCAGACAAAATACGGATGGGCTTGCCTGCCCTTGGGATAAGCTACCTCAGTACTAAAGCTTGACTGAGTCTTGTGAGCATTGCTGAGGTGAGCCTCCTGCCATGGGCTGACAGGCCAGTGACAGGGAGAAACCCTGTTTTACCATATCTATGTTTTATAGTTTGATGTTGCGGCTGTAACAGACTGCTTTCTCTTCACAGAGCGGTACAGGGGTTGATTGAACATCCAAGAGTAAACGACCAGTAAGATCTTAAAAGAGACTTCCAGACCATCAGATAACACAAATCATAACAGATAATCACAAGAAACATGATGGAGAAAGGTAATGTCAACCAAAACACAACTCAACTATTAAATGCAAAGGCACTGAACTATATAAGATCGAGAATTCTTTCTGAGATTTTTTTTATTAGTTCCTTGAGAATTTCTTACAAAGTATTTGATCATATTTGCTATCACCCCCAACTCCTCTCAGATTCATACCCCTTCCCTATTCATCCAACCATACAACTTTATGTCTTTTTTTTCACCCATCAAGTCCAATTTGTGCTTCTAAATATTCTTGGATATTTGGATTTCCACTGAAATATTTTCAACTTACCAGGAAATCTCCTCTTAAAACTGATTCTCTCTCTCTCTCTTTCTTTCTCTCCTAGCAACTATCAAGTGCCAAGAGCTCCTTGGTTACAGGTGGGACTTTGTTCCCACCTCTTCTCTTCTCTGTGCTGAAATTTGATTTGAGTTTGAGCTCACACAAGGAATGTGCATGTTGTCACAATTGCTGTGGGTTTAGAGATGCAGCTATCTGTGTGCAGAGGACACCATTTCCTCATATACATACACTGCCCCTGGCTCTAACAGTCTTTCCACTTCCTCTTCCTCAGTAATTCCTGAGCCCAGAGAGAACTAAATATGATATTGATATACCATACAGCTGAGCATTCCATAGGCACCTATTCTCTGAACCTCGACCAGTTAGTTGTATTTTTCTGCATTAAGTGATATTTACTGCTAATAGAACCTTATTTGCTGAGATCTGAGACAGTCACTAATCTGTGGGTTTAATGATGTCATTAACAATTGTTTAATACTATGTTCATTTAGCAGCACAATAATATTAAGATATTCCCTAGTGCTATGACCTGGTTAGCCATATTGGTCTCACAATGGTGTCAGGTACGGGTTTCATCTTGTGAAGTGAAATTTAAATCCAATCAGAAAGTTGGTTATTCCCATGATATTTGTGACAATACTGCACCAATATAATTTTGAAACATTTTTGGCAAAAACAAAGCAAAACAACAACAAAACCCAATGACCTGAAAGAGCAGATGAGTTGAATCCAGGACCTGGGGAGAAAAGTCAGCAGCAAAGAGGAAAAAGTCAGTGAAATGGAACTAGAATAGAGCAAGGACATTAAGATGTGGAACAAACAAAAGACAAATAGTTACAAATGAAAAACATAACAGAGACTGAAGCACCTACAAGGAG